TCTTTAATTGAAGAAACCTTTATTGTTTTAGAAATTCCATAGGGTGTCCTATAATTTTGGGATCCTCCTGTACTTTTTTGAAATTTTGCTTTATTCTAAACTATGTAGTTCTGAAATGAAATCATCGAATATCTTAAAATTCAGATATGACTATAAGCAATCAAGATTAGTTCCAGTCTTTTAGAAGAATTTCAACAGGTAATGATTCTCAAATTACTCATGTTTTGTAAAAATAAGATCATTCAGAATCGATATGTTTATTCTCTTATTTCAGAATAATATTAGTTTTATTGAAAGAGAAACCGTGTAGACACTATGGTGACTATCAGCTATCATATGTATCTTAGTGATTGTTTGTTGGAATGTTTGTATTGGTAGAATTTTAGCGTAACTTTTTCATGCCTCTATTTTGACAATCATTCAATGATCGAATCTTCGATGAAAATCAAAATAATTCTCATTTAATTTTATTCAGCTTTATTGAAATAATTTTGAGTTTTATGATAAATACTTGTTGTTCATGGTACAAGTTGAGAGACTCTGAGTAAGGCTATGTTAAATAGCATCTTGGAGTGTGTATTGACAGGTAGGAGTTGATCGCTTGATCGTATAGTTGAATGGATGAAACGATGGGTAGGATATATATGGGCATGGTAAACCAAAGGATACCCCGATTCTTATTTGTTTATGTAGCTTCAATTAGGTATCACAAAAATGTGATTTTTTTTTACCAATTACAGTACATGTATGATGCCAATGATCTGTTATTGTTTGAAGTGTATTTTCTCTTTACGAGCAAAATTTATCAAGTGTTTCTTTATAATCATTTTGTTAAAGTATTACGCATCCAATTTGTTAACGTACATCAATTCTTACTACACTATAAACAACAATGTTCTCTCAGAAACCGAAACCCTTTCGAAAACCTATGAAAGTATTCGAAAAGGTTTTCGAACTCATGTTAAGTTTCTGGAAATACCTTCAGAGTTTTCAAGCATTCGAAAACCTATGGATTCTTGAAAAACAGGTCCGGAAACTCTCAACCGTATTCTCAGAAACCCTCATACTACTTTCGAAATCCGAAAGATTTTCCTGGAAACCTCTTTTGATTTAAAAACCTTCTCAGAAACCTTTCCGTTTCCGGTAATTTTTTATCGAAAATCTCTCTAGGTTTCCTAAGATCAGAAACGGTGGGAGCGTTTCCGAGAAATCAAGCATGGTTTTCGAACATCTGTCAGAAACCCTTCAAGGTTTTCGAATCTTCAGAAAACCCTTGCGTTTCCGAAAAAAATCTCTGGAAACCTATCCTATATTCTCAAACATCGAAATAGCATTCGGATATCTTCTTTTCGATTGTCATGTTACGATCGTTATTTGAGAAGTCTAGGAATTGCTCGACATGCATGATATAAAAGTTATCCAATTTAGGTGGAATTGTTCTGTAAAACCATTAGAACTTTGAGAATTAAAAAGAATACTCTATCCGCGAGAGAATCTCGACTCCTTTTTACATCTTTCAATACCTAAAAACCTGAATGGATTATGACAAATTTTACTATAAGAATCGAAGAGCTACATTAAATGATCAGGTCATTCAAAGAATGACGTCTTTCTTCTTTTTGGTTCATTTATGTTTCATCCAAGTACAACCAGGGGTGAGTGTGGTTGTGGGCGGGTGTGGATGTGATTAAAGAGAAAAATGACACCCACACCCACCCTATCTATTTAAATAAGCCTTCATTCATCGTAATTACAACGCTCTTATATCAATCAACATAGTAGCGTTAACACTCACTATCATTTGAATCGAAATCTCGACAGTGGATTTTGTCGGCTGACTGTCCACCAGAAGGGAGGTGGTGGTAAGACCTCATCGAACATCATCTCATCAACTAAGCCCGCCAGTCAAAATCCTGGCTCTGTCGCTTCATGTAATACTTCTACAATCAATAAAAAAGAAATAGGACTGGAAAAATTAAGTAGTAGTATATATGGCAGAGGACTCTACTAAGTCTTGTGATTTACTTCGGTGAAAAGATCTTAACCTAACATAAAGCTTTACTCTTTTGGTGAGAGCATTTAAATTCAAGCCATCTAATGAGACTTCCTTGTTAATGAAGTCGGAACCAACCATTGGCCGCTCTTGTAGAGTGGAAAATGGTAAAGAAGTTTCGTCTGATGTGAGTGACCGGCGGGGCTAATGCCTTGAAAAAGACCAACGAACTTTATTCTACATCTATGTCAAGCATGTATATTGTATTTGCCGTGCAAAAAGAGAGTTACAACACAATAGCATATAAAAAAAGATCAGAAATCACGAGGAGTTACTGGTTCATAGGTTGGCAAATAGTACATATTTGCCCATACATGTGAAAGACAGACAGATGCATGAAAACGAAAAAGGATTTGAAGTGGTGTAGCAATTGCAGCAATAATCGACCATGGAATGACATGATAGAAAGCCAATTGAAATGGATTTGCTTCATGTTTAGTTGTTGTTGTTGTTTTTTCAAACCAGAGACTCAGATCAAGCATAATCAGTAAAATGATCATTTCACGCGCTGAATATTCATATATATTCGTTTGTCTCTGACGTTTGCGCAATGCAATGAGAATGAACAATGCGTGAACAGTACCTTCGATGAATTCTACAAGAGAAAAATCATCAATAAGATCTACATTATTCCAGTTACACACTAGATCGACTCAAAGATCAGTACAGCATGTCACAGATTTGTCAATAACTAATCTTTGACCTCTAGTCTAACATGTATCATACCTAAAATAATGATTGCTACTTTAACATAGATGA